ATTTTTTAACTGGCTCCTCTTTTTGCTGCCCGTCTCTGTTGCAGCAGCCTCTGCTCTAGAAAAGTCCACCAGTTTGCTTTGAGGAGGATTCAGGGTGGCTTCTTTTAACATCCCCAATGACCACTGCAATCACATGAATTTCAACTGCCCCTGAAATATATAGCCCCATTTGAAGGGACTTATACACAAAATGCCTCTGTGTGACCCTCACCGGTGCTCCTGAAGACTCCTAGGATTCTTGGAGAAGTCCATTGCCCAAGTCAAATATCAAGTTTCATCCTTACCATCAATGTTCCCAAGGAACATGAGGAAAAAGAGTTGCAGCAAAGAGTTATGCCCTCAGTAATATCAAAAAAGCCCATGTTTAACCAGAATGAACTTAGTCCTCCAATAAAATCTAGATGTCTAAGACTTCTTGTGTATTGGCCTAGAGACTGCCAATGTGACAATTGGCATGGACACACTTTGAGTGGTTGGGCATGCTTTCTCAGTGAGTGACCTCAAGCCCCAAATACTACCATCATTGGCGGAGCATGGTCTGCCAGTCCAAACGTGCCCACGATCGTCACAAACTGGTACTGAAATCCAGAGGTTCTAAGCCAAACGTTGAAGAACTGCCCTGCGCCTTTCTATGAGCTAGAGAATTCTCTGTAAATGCAGTAAAAGATGTCATGTGGATATTGCACTAATATTAGAAAATAGAGCTGCTCCAGGCATTTACTAGAACCTCAGGCTTGTGGAAACTTGAACCACGTGAAAGTCTTCTACATCCTCTGTAGGAATCCTATTGAGTTCAGTAGGACTTCAAGACCCTTGAGCCAAATTCAACTTCTGGCAAGAACTTGTGGATGTGTGCAGGCAATTTCTTGCTGACCACATGGAAATGTTTTGTCACTGCCTTCTTTAGTTTCTTTTTTTTAAAAAAAAACCTTCTCAGTCTGGCAACCACTCTGAAACTCCCTGGTGGGGTCTCATCCAAATACCACCCAGGCCCTACTCTTGATAGCTTCGAAGGCCAGGTAAGTTTGATCGGGTGCTATTGCCTCCTGAATCAGTTGGCGCTTTCTCATAGGGCACCGAGTGCAGACTGGCAACCTCATTTATTCAGGAAAAAGTTCCACTCAACTTACCGGGAGTAAGTTGTGAGTAGATATGCATAAGAGTGCACTGTAAATATGACTGCCTGATAAATCAACGCCTACAGAGAAAAATGAACCAGTGTTATAAAGGTGCTGATCAATTCCTTTTTCTTCCTCTCATGGGTACGCACTCATGATTAGGAACCTGCGTTTGCTATAAGTCTAGATAACTGTAGGGATGTGTAAACTAAAAAATGCACCCAAATGGCACAATCTAATTCTGAACAGAATTTGGCATTTAAAATGACCGCCACCACACAGTATTTACAACTTAAAAAAAAAAAAAAAATTAGGGCCAGTCTCATTTTACAAATTCTTAATGGATATCAAATATCTAAAATGAGGAATAATTAAACTTTGAAATATTTATTATGACTCTTTTATGTACTATTAACTGGTTATAAAATCTTTAGCAAACATTTTTGAGGAATTTAAGAAGCTGTTTGTTTACCACTCTTTTTGATAATAGAGGATAGTGAATATTAAAGTCCCAGCTCCTTGCACTGCTTCTGTATTTGATTTAATACATGAATCATTATTCTGGGGAAAAAATCAAAATTTATCTGCACCCTGGCTACATTTTAATAGGCTTACATACAATTGCTTTGGGGATAGTAAGTTTTTTAAAAATACAATCTTCTTAAAAAATGCAAGTCCATTATTACTGCTCATTCCCTTATTGATTCAAGTCACTTTTTAAACAGAGAATCTCTTATTTGTGTAATATATGTTTCACATACTTTATACCAATCCCTAACTGTTTGGGCTTCATTGTTTTATAAATTATGCAAGTTTGTGCAAGTAATGTTTCTCATATTATTAAATGTCTGAAAAATAATAAATGCTGATTATAAATATGTATTGGTCTGAGAATTAAGCACATAAACATCACGAACCTCACTGAGTGACCTACTCAGTCTTCTGTAAATAACTACAAATTGACATAAATCTGTACTGGACATGCAAAAATGTGTTGTCTTCTGTGTACAGTATATATAAGTCCATTTTTCTAGTTATAAACAAAGTATAAGCCATTGAGATGAATATTAAAAATAATATTGTAATAAAACAATACTAATGGTCTTTGCCCTGTTATGACCTAATTTTTTCACTGCAATCAGATTTTCTTTAGAATTCACTCCTACACCTGACAGCTTAGACGCAGCAATTTTATCCTGATCCTGAATAAAGTATTTTGACTCATTTTGTAAATACAATTGTAAAAATAAGAGATTTAATGTTGTCTTTTAAATACTCTGATTTTCATTCTAATATGAATGTTGTTATATTGTACTTAGAACTGTACCTTTAATATTACATTACCTTTATTAAGTGCATTGAACACATCAATTTTAGATGTGCTTTATGTACTGTTCTCCTGTAATAAAACTTCAGCTTCTAATGGAAACCGTTGTCGTCTTCGTTTTTCCCTTCAAGAGTTCTGGGTGCCTTCGTGGATTGCCCCAGGTGATCAAGCAAAGCCCCTGATTTAAAACCCAGACATCTAAATCTGGGAGTTTTGGGGCTAAGTGCCTTTGGAGAGTTTCCAGAAAACAAATGCCTATGTCCTCAGGAGAAGCACCTCCATCTCGGCATCATTGACCATCACTGACCTGATCCTGCCTTCTTCCCATCAGGTTCACAGTAAAGTAGAGAAAGAAATACTGTTACGTATCTCCGCATCTCATCTTCCAGGCATTTGGGTGCACACGCTGAGCAGAAGATGCTGCTCAAAATTCGTGTTTTATCTCTTCCTATCCCTGCTCTAAACTTGTCTGCTACTAGTAGATACATCACCTACAGGAATAACCCACGTACCACGTCTGCGCGCAAGAGAATGCTTGCAGGCGTAGGGAATGGAAGCCACATGGCTGAAGTTATTGTAGTTCCTAGTCCCTTCTGATTGATTGATCGATTAAGTCCTATCAAGTCGTTTTTGACTCCTAGCAACCACATAGATAATTTTTCTCCATGACGATCTGTCCTTCAGGTCTTCCAACAGTGCACTCATCGCCACTGTAACTGAGTCCCTCTAGCTTGCTGCAGGTCGTCCTCTTTCCCTCCACTTTTCCCCGCATTGGAGCCTTTTCCAGATAGCTGGGTCTTCGCGTAATGTGTCCGAAAGACCAATCTATATGAACCACATCCTGCGTAAATACAATAGGTTTCAAATGTACGCACCACCACCATCCTTCCATAGATGACTAGGAGACATCTAGATGGGTTCTTGATGTTCTCTGAGCTTGGTGGTTTTCCTGCAGACATTTCTTTACCAGGCTAGGTAACATCATCAGTGCACGGAAGAGTGACGTCTGCGGGTCGCTAGCCTTGTCAGTCTTGGTTGGGGTGGGGTTTCTTCCTTGATAGTTTGTTGATTGGGGTATTCTTTCTTCCTGGATTGTTTAGTCCTGGTGCTGTTTCCTGCTTAATGGAGTAATAGCATATTCTCCAATTCTGCATGAGGAGATGGTCTTCTCTGAAACACCCTTGCTTAGCAGCTCATCCCTAGTGCAATTTGAATGATGGACCGGCACCTAGAGAAGAACAATTAAGCCCATCGGTTCCTCCTCCAAGTCGAAGCGATGCCATGCACAGGCAGAACAGCATAGTGGCTCTGGGGTTGGACGATGGTAGGAGAGACCGAAGTGAGGTTCTAATCCAGGGTTTTTCCAACCGTTTTCCACCATGAGAACTTGATGGGGCTTCACAAGAAACGAAGGGCAGGAGGAAAGTCTACTCAAACTGAGCCCACTGTCAATCACTAACACTTTGCCTCTTGATCAGGGGTTCCCCGACTTGAAAACGTTGGAGAACCCCTGTTCTGGTCCACTTTCACCCGTGTGGCCCATGGGGTAACTTTGGGCTGGTCCCTCGCTCTCAGCCCAATCTAAGCCACAGGGTTGTCCTGGGGAGAACTGGAGAGGCAGCAGAGGGTACATCTCATGAAGCAACACACTTCTATTTACTCAGTTTCCCAATGTGAACAACTTCACCATGCAGAGCCCAAAATGAAGGCAGAGACCACTTTTGTGTAGGACTGGAGCAGGGTCAGGTGAGTTTTGTTATTGGCATTGACTCTTGGTCAGTGTTTCTCAGCCTTGGCCACTTGAAGATGGGTGGACTTCAACTCCCAGAATTCCCCAGCCAGCCATGCTGGCTGGGGAATT